AGATTTTGATGCTTTTATCTGTAATAGTGGTAGTGAGCTGTACTATCCATCTTCAAGCTCTGAGGCTGGTGAGCTTCCCTTTGTGCTTGACTCAGAGTACCAATCACATATTGGATATCGTTGGGGTGGAGAAGGTTTACGGAAGACTTTGGTTCGTTGGGCTGCTTCAGTTAATGAGAAAAATGTCGATGAAGGACAAATTGTTGCAGAAGATGAATCTGGATCAACTACATATTGCTATGCTTTCAAAGTGAAGGACCTAGCATTGGTAACTTTTTTATCTCTTTTTTTTATTTAATTTAGAAATAATAGTCTTACAAGAAAGTAAAACAAGCTTTTATGAATAAGGAGGTCTAATTCCTCCCCTTATCAAAACCCTCTTCTCTTCCGTGTTTGAATCTGTTCTAATTTCAGGACTAGCAGTTTTTGTTCCCTTTCAACGTAAATTTGTCTCTAATTTATGCACCACGTTCACAGGTTCCTCCAATTAAGGAGCTCCGGAAGTTGATGAGAATTCAGGCTCTTAGATGCCATGTTATCTATTGTCAGAATGGCACCAAGCTGAACGTAATCCCTGTTTTAGCTTCTCGGGCTCAAGCTCTAAGGTAAACTTCTTTCTTGTTCTTGTCTTTTTGATCTCTATTTCTTCTAATGGTATGGATTCTTAATTTCATTCTACATATTTAAGCACATATATTTGTTTGCAACACGAGACCATAATTATATCATATGACCCATCACCGTGCCAGCAATTACTCATCATTAACTAAGGCTATTTGAATGACTGGGAAATCACATAACAATACATTTTCATTTTCAGGTATCTATACATCCGGTGGGGCATGGAGTTATCAAACACCGTCGTTTTTGTGGGAGAATGTGGGGACACAGACTATGAAGGCTTGCTTGGCGGGGTCCATAAAACTGTGATATTACAAGGAATTGGAGTTAATTCCCGCAAGCTTCATGCTAATAGAAACTACCCTCTAGAACATGTCACATGTTATGATAGTCTCAATATCATCCAATCAGAAGGACACAGCGCAGAAGACATTAAGGCATCATTTGGGAAACTTGGAATTATTAAGGTATAACAAATCACAGCGCTTGATTCTCTCTTCGAGTGTGTACGTAAGACAAGGATTCCTTTTTTTGTTGCATGATGGTATGTGAGCCGTGAGGTTTGGATCCTGAGGTTGCCATCCCCTCATAACTCCAAAAATACATCCAGTTCTCAATAAAAGGAAAACGAAGGTACTACAATCAGGTTATGATTATGAACCCTGATATTATGTTCTTCTATATAAACTGCTCAGATGATGAAGATCATTTCCTAGTTTCATTATAACTTCTGTTACAGTTGTTACTCTTTTGGTTTTTGTATATTGCAATCAAGTTCATGGTACACATGTTCAAGGTTTTTAATTGCTATACTTCTGCATTACCCATCAGTTTCTCTTAAATGCTAGCATAACA